TGGAACCTTATCGTAAGCTTTTCGTAAGCTTTTTCTAAATTAATAAAAATCAAATGTAGATTCTCCTTATTATCCTGAACATCTCTATCAAACCTCTCAATAAATGTGCAGCTTCCATGGTAGACCTGCCCAGCATAAATCCGAATTGATTATGAGAAATTTTTGTAATGCGTCTTAACCTATGTTCAATTACCCTCTCCCATAATTTTAAAGTATGACACATCAACTTAATTCCTCTATAATTTGCACACTCTTAGGCAGCCCCTTTATTCTTAAAAATGGAGACCAAAATACTCTTCCTCCGCTCCTCAAGCATCTTTTTAGTTTTTAAAATAATATTAAAAAATTTAGTAAGCCAAGAAACTCCCAAATCTCCTACATATTTTCATACTTCAATTGGGATATCACAGGTCTTACAGACTTTCCACCCTTTGTTTTCTTTAAAGCCTCTTCAACTTCTTTTTTACTATGCGACAGTAAAAATAAAACGTTTTATTATTATTCACGATAATAATATTACTAAGGTCGATCGTATTTTCAGAAACTTCATTAAAAAGTTTATCAAAATAAATCACCCACCTATGTTGAATATATTTTTCTAAGAAAATATTTTTTGATTTTCATCTTTAATACACTTGAGTTAAATCTTTACTTTTCTTTTCTCTTTGTTTGGCTAGTTTATACATATATTTTTCACTATTCTTAGTATCTCATCTATTATAAAGATCATTAAAAGCAGAATTTTTAGCGTCACAGAATGTTCTTTTAGACTCTCTGTGGGTCGTTTGATATTTTTTCCAGTTCTCTAAGCTTTTACATTAAAACCAATTTTTATAACATAACTTCTTGTATTTTATCTTTTCTTGCACGTTATTATTCTACCACCAATTATTTTTATTTATAAAAACTTTTTCTTTTGTTTTTCTAAGCATCAAAAAAATAAAAAAAATTATTTTGCAATGCCATAAAAGAAAATAAAAATTTTATCCAGAACTTCAACCAAAGCATTTTATTGAAACTGGAAGGTCTGTTGACAATCTTCACCCTAAGTTAACTCTAAAAATTACGGCTTAACTGAACAGTACAGCAAGAACAAATAGTAAATAAAGTAGCAATTAAAGTCTTAATTAGGCAATTGTTCTACCATCGACACTAACATGACCTCTCATAAGAACGAAAGGTATGGCTTGTGGGATGGCCAGAAAACCAATAAGAGTCAAATTCAAGTATTACAAGAGAAAATGAGTAGGCTACTGTAACTTTTTACTACAGTCAATGAAAACCTTAAACCAAAATCTAACCATAACTTTGATAAGTATCTGATTGATTTATTGCAGATAAAACACAATAAGCCCTCTCAAAACCAAATAAAAAACCCTCCTTAAAAGCCTTTTTATGATCAATTGAGAGTAATGATGGTGATTCTAATGAACATCCAAATCCCACAATCCTAATCAATCCACTCAGTTCACATACTAGCATGTATGTAAATAGGTTATGAAGAAAAAGAGATGCCCATAAGACATTTTATGTGAAAATTAGAACAATACAAAGCAAATAAGGTTCAACAATCCAATTATGTAATTAAATGGTTAGCCATGAATAGAACTGTCAGGTCAACTCCTTCAAACCTTAGAAACCATGTTTATTTATTTTGCAAAACAATAACCAGCTGTAGAACCCACATCATTTTGCTTGTACACCCTTCATCGCTAAACATGTCTATTCATCACAGATGAGGATAAAACTTCAAACTAAACAAAAATAATTGCTCCCAAAACTTAAATTCCTTCATGAAAAGTTTAAAAAAAATGTTGAAATCTCGTGTAAGCATAAAGGAGTGGATAAAAAGCTTGACGCCTTCAACACCTATTTAGATATGGAGCTGTCAAAATGACATTCGAAATCTATAAATTCTAAGAAGGGTAATATTTAAGATTTCAAATCCAAGAACATTATCACAAAAATTCATCCTTTGCTATACTATCCAGCCCACCTATTACATCTTGTTGAATGTGCCAAAAGTGTTTGCTTTCCTAGTTTGAATATGTGTTTCACATCCTTCCTTCAATGTTGCCATAACTACTTTGTATTGTCTGTCAACTTTTCAATGTCTGTACAGGCGACAATTGTGAAACATAGATGTCTAAAGAGGTAAAAACTGTGAAACATCATGACCTCCTCCACATTTTGGGCATAATGGAGAATGCAGCGGTGGCAATGATGATGAGTTGGCTTGGTGGTTATCACTTCTGTACAACATCCATTTTATGGCAATAACCACAATGGTCTTCTAAGCGGAGCGTAGTGTTTGTGGTGGTGGCCATGTCAACCGTCCTAGTGCATAGCCAACATTTTTGGCGTACAATGAGGAATATGTCCCACACAATGACAAATGGTGACCTTCCTCACTCAAGAACGTCCTTTATAATGACAACTAGTATTCATCATCATGCAACGGCAACATTTTTTATGATGGGAGTTAGGTTGCTTAGACATATCACACACTATAATTTTATTCCACAAATTTTATCCCATATTAAGTTATTCCGAAATGTTCCAAATATTGCTTATTTTTCAAATAATTAACATCAACTATCATGACTACATCATTAGAAATAGCGCATGACAAGATGGATGCCTCATTTTTGTATACCTATTATAAATGCAATCATGAAAATTATAAAACAAATGAACTTGGTATTGTAATATGATGGGAAATTCTAGTTACTTCATAACAAATTTTAAATTAACAAACACAACCATATAAACTTTTAATACTACATAATTCACATTCATTTGACCAACACCTTTTCATCCTAAAAAACCCATTGAATATATTATTATGATTGAATCATGTGCTTTCAAGGTCAATGCAAAGATTATGACCCTTATATAGTCCTAATGCTTTTTATTTAACGTCTTAACATAAAAATAGCATTCATAGTAGTGTTCAAGATATAAAATCAAACTGATTATATGATATCAATATGATATTTCTAAGTTTATGTTCAAGTACTTCATCTTATAATTTCATTTTATGACTAATTAGGTTAATCTTTCATGAATAACTTACTTCAAAATTTGCACCTTATTTGTTTGAAAAAATTAGCACAAAAAAAAACTTCAGCAAAAATGTCTTATTTCACTGTCACTAATTTCAATGAAAATGATATTAATGGCAATATTCAAATACCTTTAATAACCCTCCGAATCTCAAAACGAGATTTGTTTCTACCACTATGCATCTCCTCAAAAGTAACTCAGGCATGTTTTGATTATTCTTTTTTTTTCATATAATTCCTTTAATTTCCATCATATAGAATCAGATTCTCTCAAAAAAAACTATTTTATTTTTTTCCAATAAAATTTCATCAATGCCATTATCCATCTTTATTAATTTCCTTATTTATAAGATAAGCATCTATATTTACTAATAAAACATCCAACTTAAACATCTTGTTTTTTTTCTCCCTGGACTGATAAGTTTGAAGTGGAGCATTAAAGAATTTTGATAAAAAGTCGCACAGATGGACATATTCCATTGCTTCCTTGGAAGGACAAAACAAATAAAAAACAAAAGAAAGAAGAATGTAACCAAAAGAACAACCTTTTCCCGTTA